CGATGAAGTTTGCCAATGTTTGTACTTTGATTGCAGATCAACCCTTACAACTTATCTCAAATTGCCCTAATTCTACTATCTATTTCATTAGTCTTCTTGATGCATCAGGTTCCCGTAGTACTTGCTTAAGCGGAAAATTAGTTAGTACTTAGGTACTGTGGCTCTAGAAGTATGGTCATAGCTTTCATGGTGCTACTACTGAGGCAAGGACAAGTTTTTCCATATCTAGATATCTAGGTTCTATTTCTTGTAGAGCTTTACTCACGTCATAGATTGGCAAGTGTTGCTGCCCTACCACTTTCACTAGGAGAAAACTAACTGCTACTTTAGAAACTACAAAGTATAGCAGTAACTTTTTCTCGTTTACGAATTTTGCTAATAATGGTGCCTTTCCTAGGTTTTCTTTCAAAGACTAGAAAGCCTGCACACATTCATACTCTGTTTGAATGTTTTTTCCTCTCTTTAACACTAGAAAGAAAGGGGAGCACTTGTTTTATCTCGTGTGATACATATTTGCTCAAAGTGACAACCCTTCCTGTTCAACTCTGTACTTCCTTTGGCTTTGTTGGGGATCGCATTTTAGTAAGTGAGCGAATTCTATTTAGGTTCGTTTCAATACCTGGCAAATTTACTATCCTAGGAATTTTTTGCATTTGACTTTAAATAATGATATTAGTGGATTGAGTTTCATTCTATACTTTGCAATACATTAAAGGTTAATTTTTTTATCCAAATGCTTTAAGTATCTCTAAGATTGGAGGTTTTTAACGAGCATATCATCGATGTATACTTTCATCATTTTTCCTAGTTGGTCCACAAATATTTTGCTCACTAACCTTAATTAAGTGACCCCAATATTTTTAACCTAAATGTCATTACCTTAAAACAATATAATCATCAGTCTGTTACGAAGGCGATGTGTTCCTCATCTGGTCTATCCATGGGGATCTAACTATATCCCAAATATGCATTCATAAAGCTTAGTACTTCATGCCGCACAGTTGTACCCACCAGCTGATCAATTTTGGGAAGCGTAAACTGTCGTTGGGACATGTTTTATTCAAGTCCATTTTTAACCTAAATGTCATTACCTTAAAACAATATAATCATCAGTCTGTTACGAAGGCGATGTGTTCCTCATCTGGTCTATCCATGGGGATCTAACTATATCCCAAATATGCATTCATAAAGCTTAGTACTTCATGCCGCACAGTTGTACCCACCAGCTGATCAATTTTGGGAAGCGTAAACTGTCGTTGGGACATGTTTTATTCAAGTCCATGAAGTCTTGGCATGTTCATTATTTTTCGTTGCTCTTTGGCACTTAGATAGGTTACATCCCCAAACTGGGTATTGAGCATCGCGGATAAAGCCATTTTCTAACAATAACTACTTCGTTCTTTAATGTTTCATATTTCTCGGTCTTCACTGATCGTCTCCTCTATATTTTAGGGTTTATCTTGGGATCAATTTTCAAGGCATGTCATGCCACCTTGGGATCTATTCTTGCCATGCCAGCATGCTTCCAAGCGAGTGCATCGAGGTTTGCCATCAGGAAGCTTTTTAGCAATCCTTTCATAAATTACTCAATTCCTTACCAATTTTCAAGACCTTGCTTGTATATTCTAAACTTACAAAAAACATTTCAAATTCTCGACTGTTGTTGCTTCTGACATGCAATCAATTATGTGAGTATTGATTTAGTTATCGATTTCAAGTTTCTTCCTGGGATTACTCATTTCAACTACAACAATTACACTCTTCTCGGGGGCTCTTATGGCTTTTCTTTATCGTTACTTTCATGATTTCTACACAGGCTTCCTTAATTATATTTTAAGGGCATTTCGCCTTTATTCATAGAGAACCTCACGTACAATTGATGGAGAAAAATGATTATATTCACCTGTTTCATGGCAAGTTGTATGGAGACTCCGTCATATGTGAATTTTTCCTTTATAATGTTGAAATCCATATATCCTGATATGCTTAGGTCTCATCTCCTAGTTTCACTAGGAGAGTGGCCCATCCACGAGGGACTGGGTCGTCTCAGGAGGAAGTAGTGAGGCTCTAACACAGTAACCCATGTATTATACTTCTACATTCAATCAAAAACTTCGTATAAAACATTTATCGTACTTACATTGTATAGGAGCATACAGTGAAAACATTCTTTAACTATTATTGCCTGGATGATTACCACCTCTTCTTCAGGACCCGGATTTTCACTTTTAGGTCCTATAGATTTAATTGAAGAGATTATAGATTGCATATTGCCCATCCTTTATAAGTTTTGTGACACTGCGCTTTATCCGATAGGTTTAGCATTCAGGTTACTTATTTTCGTACTCAGAGCAGTGTGTTCTGCCATTAATGTTTTAAGATCTTCAGCCATTTTCTGTATGGTATTTGTTGCCAACCTCTTCTTTTGTAGACGTTGACTCTTGAGTGGTGGACAATTCTTCTTGCGATCTCACTTTAACATCTTCTCACCTTTGCTCTAAGCTTGCATTTGTACTAACTGGATTATGGTCGATCTCTTTACTTCCAACCTTCAACGCCTCTACCTCCTCCGGACCTACTTTTACTTGGCTCATTATTTCATTTCTCAACTTAAATAGATTAATTCATAGTTTTCTTCGCTCGGTTATCAACAAAACAATGCCAATTTATTGACCATAAAATTTTGTTCAACAAATTTCTCACTTAGTCTGGATGTTTTCCTCCTATACTCTCTGATTTAGATGCTTAAAAAGAAGTAAAAGGAAAAATGGTGATTTGTAGGGAGATATTGAAATTTGCATGCATTCCTCTTCCTATGTGGGAGTATTTATAGAATTTTTTTTAAAGTTTTAGGGCAATTGGGTCATTGTGGAAATAACAATTGACGATTGCTTAGTGATGGATTGATAACCGATTTTGTTATGCATTCACATGTTATTCAATGGTTTAGAAGTCATGCTTTTCATTTTCACCCTCGTTTATTTTAGAAGTCATTCGAACTCTTCTATATTTTTGTTAGTTGTGTACTTAACCTTCGCCCATAGGGGTGCATAAGTTCACGGACTCATTTTCTTGATTCAACAACTCTAATTGAAATTTGGATGATTTACGATGAATCAATGTAGAAAAATGCAAGGATTTGTTCTTGTTGGTATTGGGCTGACTCAATTAACCAAGAAGATTGGGGTTGATATTGGTTCTTGCATGGAAATTGGTTTGAGGTAGTGGCGTAAAATTGACGTGACGAAAAATTGTCGGAAGAAGGTTGTTGCAGCAGCGTGAAAGTATGGTAATGATCGTATGGAAGGGCAGAAGTGGGGGTGCAAGGGGGTCGGGCAGAGTTGGGTTTTGGAAAAATGATATTTTTTGGGTAATTGGCACAAAACGTCCTTACCTTTCAAGTCTATTGTGGAAAACGTCCCTACCTTTTATTTTTTGGTATTTTTGCCCTCATTTCAACCTTTCTTTGCGCTGGACGTCCTTCCGTCCATATTCCGTCAGTTTTTCCGTTAATTAAATGGTAATTGACACAAAACGTCCTTACCTTTCAAATCTATTGTGGAAAACGTCCCTACCTTTCATTTTTTGGCATTTTTGCCCTCATTTCAACCTTTCTTTGCGTTGGACGTCCTTCGTCCATATTTACGTCAGTTTTTCCGTTAATTAAATACAAAAATACCTTTTTCTTTCCATAAACAAGCATAAAATTGTCCTCACCCACTTCACCCCTTTTTCCCGCCATCAACTTAGTCCATAAGTAACAGTAGCAGCAACATGAATCTGAAAATACTTTAAATGATTAAGTTAAATAAAGAAAAAATATCGTGAACACATTATATTTCACAATTTCACAACTACTGTTGCTGTCATCTTGTGTCACTGGAAAATTTTAGAAAGACATATTAAATGGGTAGTCAATTTATAATGAGCCAAAATGGTGAATGGCTCTTTTTGGCTCAATGGAGAAGATGAATGGCTCATTTTAAATTGACTCATTATAAATTGACTACCCATTTAATATGTCTTTCTAAATTTTTCCAGTGACACAAGATGACAGCAACAGTAGTTGTGGAATTGTGAAATATAATGTGTTCACGATATTTTTTCTTTATTTAACTTAATCATTTAAAGTATTTTCAGATTCATGTTGCTGCTACTATTACTTATGGACTAAGTTGATGGCGGGAAAAAGGGGTGAAGTGGGTGAGGACAATTTTACCCTTGTTTATGAAAAGAAAAAAGGTATTTTTGTATTTAATTAATGGAAAAACTGACGAAATATGGACGGAAGGACGTCCAGCACAAAGAAAGGTTGAAATGAGGGCAAAAATGCCAAAAAATGAAAGGTATGGACGTTTTCCACAATAGACTTGAAAGGTAGGGACGTTTTGTGCCAATTACCCGAATGTTTAACGGAAAAACTGACGGAATATGGACGGAAGGACGTCCATCGCAAAAAAAGGTTGAAATGAGGGCAAAAATGCCAAAAAATGAAAGGCAAGGACATTTTCCACAATAGACTTAAAAGGTATGGACGTTTTGTGCCAATTACCCATATTTTTTTGGCCCTTGTTTGAGCCCCATTTTTATCAAAATTGATTCTTCAACAGTGATTGGACCTTACTTCAATCACATATTTTTCAATAAAATAATATTATACACAAATTCAAAACTTTTCGTTATTTTTTAATCACACATTTTCTATCAATATACTATTCAAAAATGCCTTTTTTTTTTTTTTTTTTTTTTTTTTGTGTGACAAGAATGGGGCTTAAACAAGGGCTTTGTTTTAGTTTTCTTTCCTCTCTTTTTTTAAAATTTTTATTTTGCCTTTTTCTATTAAATTTTTTCTTTTAATTAAATATTGAAGGTAAAATTATATTTTTCATAACTTAATTGAGAGTTTATATATTATATAGAAATAATTTGTGCAATATAGCATACTGGAACTTTTTATGCCAATTACGCATTTCGATTATCGTCAAATCTCTTATAACTGGCTAAAAAGTAAACCTAAAATTGCCCATCTTGACTTTAACGAACCCTTGTTTCTTCCCCCTCCTTTTTGACTCATTCCGCAGCACCAAAAACAAGGCGTGCAAGGGACAAAAACTTAAAAATTAAAAGTCAATTTCTCCACTTTCTCCTGTTTTCAATCTCAACTGCTTCGCCCAAATTGAAACGAAATTATATACGAAGATTGGGTGAGGTTTGTTGTCTCATTGGATCGCATCTAAATGATATGAGACTCAATCAGCATCATATTTGATGTCCTTATCAAGAAATGTCCCAGGCTGATGTCTTCTACAGGTAAATTTATATTCCAATTTCTGCATTTTTTATCCATTTGATTTTTTGTGGTTCTAATCCTGATACTGCTGCTAATTTTTTATTTTATGGTTTATTTGGGTTTTATTTTGGAAATTAAACAATTTTGAAACTTATTCTTATGATTAATTGTACATGTACATGGTATTTATGGAACTGATGGTTTTTTGTCGATCAATGTGATCTTGTCCTTGAGTTGTAGTTATTTTTGAATATATGAAGGGCTCCAGTTACCGTTAAGTATATCGGGTTTTGATAAATCTAGTTAGCAACCCAAACTTTTAATTTAACATCTTTAACAAAATGTTAGCTTGAACCTCAAATTCTATGGAAGCATCCAATGCAAAACCTTAAGGATAGCCATAAAAGCCCCTAAATTCTTAACAGTGGGAAATTTCTTGTAATTTTTCAAGAGAAGTTGCTTAAACTATGTCTGTAAGTGGTTATTTGCAATACATAAACCTGCTAGAAAAGTGTCAATCAGCTCTCGCACGATGGAAAATAGGTTCATCTAAGTCTGGAGGGCAAAGCAATTTCATTCAATACATTACCCTTCTTAGCTGGACATCCATGGAAAAGAATCCAATAATATTTGGCGGATAATAGTGTTTCTTTGTCAATTATGTGCAAAAACATTTAGAAAGGTAGTGTTCTAGTCAGTTGAAGTAGTAATCTAAGGGTGGTTAATTGCTTTGATGGTTATGAAGTTAGAATCAACTTAATATTTATGTTTTATTGGCATATAGGACCTGAGTTTATGAGTGACCAGATCAATATTCCCTTTTGCTTGCCTACTGCAGTAGGCTTAAACCTTGTGAAAAAATAATTTGCACTAGTAATGATCAATGACTACATTGCATATACTCTGATTGATCTTTTGAACCTGACCAAATTTCCTTACGACTTTTAATCCTTCTTGACAGCCTTGTCCATCCACCCCCATCCCTAAAAAGAAACAAAGAAAATATAGTAAAGAACAAAAAATTTCGTAAAAAGTGCAAAAATTTACAACGCATTATTCTCTTAAAACACGTACTCCTTCCGCCCCAATAGGATATGCTTGTTTTTATTTTCACATAGATTAAGAAAATGTAATTGATGAAATTGGAAATATTTTTTTTTCTTACATTTTTCATAATATACACTTACATTACATATTAAATAGGGGTATATTAGAAAACTAAAAACTCATATATATTCTCAACAAGGAAAATAGCCTATAATTTGGGACAGGCAAAAAATGAAAGCAAGCCTATATTTATGGGGTGGAGAGAGTATTATCTTTATGATCGTCTTGTTCATTGACTTGTTTAAGAATTGCTTTACTGATTAGAAACCCTTTTTTCCCATTTTCTCTTTTACTTGCTGAGTTTGTTGTATAATCTGAGTGTGTTCTGCTTGTATGTAACTTCTCTTGAACCGACTTCATTGTATCTCATTCATTGCAGCTGTGGGTCTTGTGGATATCCTCTCAACTTAGCATCTTCCAATCGTGTAACTTCAAGCATTGGATCCAAATATAGTAAATCTATTAAGAAAGGTTACATCTCCTTTCTCTCCATTGATCTCAGCCGATTTACACAAGTTGATGAATTGAACTGTCTTCCTATATCTTGGGGCCACTACGGTTCGAAATCTAAACTCCTTTGCCGCCAGTGTGGAGTTCTCATAGGCTATGGTTATGGAGACTCAACTGCTTTTTGTGGTTTTGATTCACCTGCCTCATCTAGCGCATCCTATAAAAAGATAATGATAAAGATTCGTGCCTTGCAACCTTCCGAAGACTGTGAAAATGGAGAATGATTCAATAGATCATTTTCCCTACATTACCCAACTTCCCGATGATTGCTTATACTTCATTTTTCGGAGGCTTGACTCTAATTTGGATCGCGAATCATTTGGATTAACTTGTCGTCGTTGTCTTCATATTCAAAATTCAAGTCGTCGGTCTTTACATTTTCAATGTGCGTTTACCCAACGAAGCATTGCATCTCTATCTCAATCTTCCACTGAAATTACCTCATTTCATCTACATAGGTTGTTGAACCGATTCCAACAACTACAGTCATTATCCTTGTCTGGATGCACCGATCTCCCGGACTCTGGGTTATCTCTGTTGGCACATTGTGGCTCATACTTGCAAAGTTTGCATCTGGATTGTTGTTTTGGGATCACCGATCATGGACTATTCTTTGTGGCAAGTGGTTGTACTTCACTGACAAATCTAAGTCTTTATAGGTGCAATGTTACTGATATTGGATTGGAGACTTTGTCCAAATCTTGTTTTGGTCTGAAAGATGTGAATCTTTCGTATTGTGGGCTTATATCCGATCATGGGATAAGAGCTCTTTCCCAAAAATGCCCTCAGCTCCGGGCTGTCAAGGTATCACATTGCAAAAATGTCAATGGCATTGGCTTTCTAGGATGTCAGACTCTGACTAATTTAGAAGCGGAATCATGTAAGCTTGAGCCCGAAGGAATAATGGGCATTGTCAGCGGAGGTGGACTCGAGTACTTGAGCGTGTCTAACCTAATCTGGTGCATTCAAGGAGATGGGTTGTTATCAATTGGTGCTGGATATGCAGCCAATCTTAGAGTGCTCAATTTTCGATTATGTAGAACTACTGGAGATGAGACAATTGTGGCAATTTCCAAGGGGTGTCCATTGCTTGAGGAGTGGAACTTGGCATTATGTCATGAAATTCGGGTGTCTGGGTGGGAATCTATTGGTTTAAACTGTCAAAACTTGAAAAGGCTTCATGTGAATCGTTGTCGGAATCTATGTGATCAAGGACTGCAAGCTTTGAGGGATGGCTGCAAACGGCTCAGCATTTTGTACTTCACTCGCTGTCGACTGGTCAGTTCAACAGCCATAGAGATTTTCAAATGTTTAAGAAGTGATGTGAAGATCATTGAAGAAGAAATAATGTGTATTGCTCCCGATTGGGCCTTTTGATTATATTGTGTCGAAGAAATTTGTTCGCCTTTCGATTATAGTGTGTCAAAGAAATTTGTTTTATAACACTAATATATATCTTCACAATGAACAAGTATTCAACTTATTTCTTGTTTAATAGTGTATGATTCTATCTACTTCAACACATCAAATGTGTCATAATGTAAATTGTTGAACGCGATATTGAATATGATCTTAAAACGTAGAATTTTGCATATTCGTTACTGTTCGATTGAATATTGATTTAAACTGTTCTTATTCAATTAAATGTTTCATTAATGTTTGTTAATTTGCAATTAAATGTTCAACTTATGTTAGTTCATTTACTTATACACAATTGTAGTTAATACATTAACTACGGAGAAAAACGAAAATCAAACATAAAGCGAGAGCTTGTTTGGCGGCTAGAAAGTAGAACATACGTTTTATTAGTAAAAAGAAAGGTAAATTTAGAAGTTATTTTTACAAAATAAACTACTTAAATTTAAGTTTAAAATATTTTTATGCAAAGCCAAGCCCTAATTGTATAAAAAGTTAAGGACTCATTTTTACAGGTTTAATATGTTAAGGACCTCGACTACAAGATGTTTGAAATCTTTAATTTGCAAAACTGATCCAAGCCCTCAATTATTTTCAAGAGAAGTCTAATCCTAAAAGGCCCCCTTTCAATAAAACACGGAAGGCTGCTTATAATTTATAAATTTGGAAACCAAATCCATACCTCCATTTTCCGTACAGATTTTCTCTACCTCGTGTTTATCCAATCTCTGTAATAACTATATAAATCTATCCATTCCTCTGTTAATTTGTCCGTTCCAGCTGTTATCTGTCCAAATTCCCAGCAAAGATTTATCAATTTCATTAATCTTACTGAAATTTCCATAAACAGAATCGATTTGTAGAAAGTTTCAGAATTTCGGAGTAGATTTTTTATGGCTGCTAGTGCGAATCCTTCAGCGGGTCATAGCAACGGTAATAATGATAATAATAGCCACAGTAATGGCGGCGGGCAGGAGAATGCCAATGGTGGCGCTACAAGTAGCAACGGCGGGCAGGAGAATTCCATGGCGAGATCTACCCAGGCTGCCCTCCGCCACAACCCCGGCTTGTCGGTTAACTGGTCCACGGAGGAACAGTCTACCCTTGAAAATTTACTCACAAAGTTAGCTCCCGATTCTCTCTTCTTCTTAATTCTGCATATGTGTATGTAATTACCGTGTCTACATGCAAACATGTTAATTTTTTAGGCGCGAGCCATTTTTAGTTTTTTGCTATCATTGAAAGTTTGCCTGAAATTCTGGCTAGTTTTATCCAACACTTTTGTGCTGAATTTGGGTCCTTGGGTGTTCTACTGTAGATATTGAATCAAGTTTAGGACTCGTATTATGTATAAGATGATGGTTTTGGTTGGTTATTTAGCTAAATTGTTGATTATTTACCACCTGTGGGCATAAAGAAATTTGGAATTCGACCTCACGACTCCTTTCTAGGATAATTTATGAAATGGAAGCACGGTTATGCAGTCTAGCTTGAAGTATAATTCAGGTCCATGGGATCCTTCAGTATTCAGAGACTGATGAATCTGTGGTGGGTATACCCACCGATTGGGTTTTGGTTAATTTGTGTAACAGGAAATTAGAAGGCCTGGATTTTTGTGTTATGGTTTATGTTATGGACTAATAAGCAATAATTGCACGAAACTTAGAAAATCGAAAGCACTACGTCTACCTGCCACAGTAAGATTGTACTTCAATTAGCTCTAAACAAAAGAAAAATACGTGTTCTATGGCAACTCATGCCTCTGTATTATATCATCTCTACGCAGAAAAAGATAAACAGATACTTTCCTTAATATCCTTTATATAGATAAGAAATATTGGGGCAACATGGTACACGAGCAAACTACCCCTTATACCCCTATAATAATTAAACAATATAATTAGCGTTCACACATCCAACATTTTGAAGTGATTTCAATTGTATTTCACTACAATAGAGACAATAAAAATTCTAAACTTGCACATAATGACTGCATATCGACAACTGTGACAAAATTATTGTCCTCATACTTCATAGTGCATCAATACTTTGAGGTTTAGCTGTAAATGCTCCATTTTCAACTCTTAATTTATCAATAAAATTTTGAAAAGAAACGTCCTTGGTCACACCAAGGCAAAATGTTCAAATTCACATCAGTATTTATCTATTTAACATATTTGCTGGCTATTTAGATAGAATATTTATACTCCCAAATGTTTCCATCTAGCTGGTTATATGTTCTCGTGGATAATGCGTGGATGTTGCACACTGCTCTGATACCTTAATGCACCCTTTTGCAGATATGCCTCAGATACCACCATTGTTCGGTATGCTAAAATTGCTCAGGCGTTAAAAGATAAGACAGTTCGAGATGTGGCATTACGTTGTAGATGGATGACTGTAAGCTCTTATTTTGTCATTGTCCTTCTCATTTGAGTAGTTACTGTTATTTGCTTTTCAACGTAGCCGGATGTAACTGGTTTTGCATCTAAGTTCTTTTAATCAAAATTAAACTAGAAACAGTGATCAGGATTGACAAATTATAATAGAAGTGTTCTATTTTTGGGGCTAATTTCTATGCCTGGCCAGACATTGTACTTCAGAATTGAGAAAAATGTGGAAGGAAAAAAAAAATATTATACAAACCTACACATCCACGAGGTTTTTGGATGTGATTAGGTTGTAAAGCTTGGTAGTTGGGTATTTTTTGTCATAGAATGAAGTTCATTTTTTTATAAGATACTTGAACTTATTAATTATAGAAGCATAATTGCAATTGTTAATGGCATGACGAATGCTCAAACTCCAATTAAATAGAAACGAATTCAAGAATACAATATACATTTTTAGCAATCATTAAAGTTAAAGTAATATCCTTGAACTCATTGCCTGTTGGAAACAGTTACAATTGGAAAATTGGAATAGGAAATTAAGAAAATATTTTCCTCTAGCTTATATCCTAGTCTAGATATTAATTAATATTTTTCCCTTTATTAATATGATCTTTCTTTTTGTCATTTTCCTTCTATAGGTAGGATTAATCTTGTATGAGTAACCTTTAATTTGATGAATAATACAAGTAATTTAGCTTAAATTTCAAGTTGGCATCAGAACTTTGGTTGTCCTAATATCTCTAAAATATTAGCTGAATCCTCCTGCGACCCTTAACCTCTGAATCATTCCTATGGCACTCTAGCTCTAAATTGCTCCTACGACCTTTACCTTCTAAATTGCCCTGGCAATCTCTATCCTCTACCTAGCTCTAAAAAATATGGTTTCAAAATTGGGATCTGAAAATTAGGGTTTCAAATTGCAAATCCTAGAGCCACATCAAAACCCAGTCAATACTAGCTGTGAGCTCTGGTGAAGGTAACCTGATGGAGCGCGATCCCTTTCCAACCACATCAATGCTTTGTGATATCTGGCAAAGCCTTTCAATGCTTTGTAACTTCCGACGAGCTCCTCTATGACGTTGACACCATTTTCTAACTCAGGCTCTGGAGCCTGTCCTTTTGTGCACTAGAGGCCAGGGGACCTCTCTTTGTGTTCACGAGGCTTGAACCAGGCTTTTGTTAGTGTCTCTTCTGGTTGTGAGCATCTTGTGCTGGTTGTGCAAAGTCTCTGCTGTATTGACTTCAAGACGTCTTCCTCTTCACGGTATTGCGGCTATAAAGAAGCTCTTGGGAGATTTCTTGGGCTTCCACTAATCAGCTGTAGGTTGCTAGGGTGAAGAAGAACTACTTTGCTGATATAATATTTTCTCCTTACATTTATCCCTGTACTTTCATATTTGTTCAATTTGATCCCTGAACTTTATGAAAAGTTAGATTCAGTCCCTTAACTTTCAGATGGTTTCAGAATCTTGCACGTTAGTCTTTGAGCTTTCTGAAAACAAGGGTTTTACATGAAAACCAATAAAGATGCGTAAAGAAGACTTGTGCTGAGACACAAAAAAATTTGTCTCCTTGTTGAAATGCTTCTTGATCTTTCTCCACTTGGTTTGTATAGACTCAGTTAACCACATCTTTCTTCAGTGGGATTCAGTGTGGTTCTTGACCAACTTCCATTTCTTTTTTTGTTTCCTCTTCGGTTAATAGTTTACTTTCAAAGAAGCACGAATTTTGCATTAACTTTAGAGAGAATGTACATACATGACCTTCATTTCTTTGTTTAACTAATACTGAAAACTGTAGATAGTTGTAACGTTGAAAATTTTCATAACATACTGTAGTTTTATTTTAACAGTGGTGACGACCTCAAACTCAAGTAAAGAATTCAAGGCTAGTGTGAGACTTTACCCAGAAAAAGGAAATCGTTTGTAATATCAAGTTTATGATGCCAGAGTCAATTTAAATGTTTGATTTTCACTCGTTGAAGAGGGTTAATACAATAGGCTGCTTTTTATGGACGATGTATATTGTATTCTTGAAAAAAGTGGAAAGACAAATGGTTGAGAATGGAATGGAATCAAAGTTCTTCATGCTCATTAATAAATGAAATTTGCTCGTTGATGGATCATGAGAGCAAGAATGAAGTTAGCAGTGACTCTAATTCCTATCCCTTTTATTATTTTCAGCTGATTACATCGATTATGACTTAAATGTTCTACTGTTTTGCAGAAAAAGGAAAATGGCAAGCGAAGGAAAGATGATCACAATTCATCAAAGAAAAGTAAAGATAAAAAGGTATTTGAACATGAAGCATGTTATTATCTGTTCCTAGCTATCCATGTGAACATTTAAGGATGAGTCACCTCTCTTATTCTTAGCATGTGCTGTTAGTATCTAGATAACACTTCAAATGACTCCTTTAATACATGAAATGTTATAATATATTTGGACATTGGCATGCTCCACATCCTAGCAATGAGGTAAACATGGCATAAGAAATGGCCTTCTAATTTCTGCTATGTGGTCTAGAGTGATAAGCCTCTTACTTATCTTCCTCATTTCCTGGATGTATTAGAGCCTTATGAACAACCGAAATCATATGTTTATGATGACTATGTTTTGTTATTTGAGTTTTGAAAGAGTATCTATATTTTGTTGCTTTTCAGTATGTTTGGGGTCCTGAATTTGTAATTATTTTCTCCTTTAATCCTCTTCCTTCCCCCTACACGGGGCCAAAAAAAAAAAAAAAAAAAGGAAAAAGGAAAGTTAATACTTTAGGCATCCAAGCAATCCTTTAATAAATTGATTGCCTTATTGATGTTGACATAAATCTTCACTATTTCATCTTAGTCCAACTTAGTCGCATTAGAGGGTGAAGTGATGGTGTTTTGCTTGCTCGTGTTCTCTAGTGGCTCATATATGCTTTGAGCATTGTAAGTGATTAATAGTTTGCAGTATCAGGAAGAAGCTTGATTTGGTTTAATTTGTAAATTTTTAAATAGCCGAGTACATGTATGAGATTATCTCAGCACTTTAACAGGATCAAGAAGACATTAGATGGGTTTAGAGCGTTATTTCCAGTTTAAAGCCTAATATGCAGAAGAATAAGTTGTTCAATACTGCATTACAATAAAAGGGACCTCTTGGCTTCCTAGAAAGATGCTTTGAGGATTCCTCTCATAGCTATGATGTTTTGAGGCAAGGGATTGTCGATGCTGGTGGATACAATAGTGTCAGGGATAGATTTCAAACAAAAGGCAATCATACCAGTGCAAATGTGTGTTGAGATAGTGTGAGCAAGACAGTGTCTGAAAAATGGTTCAGTTTCGATAGTCGGTGCACATTTGGAGAATGAAAGCTTGAGCTTTTGGATGACCCTCCCTTTTCCCTAGATGACTTGGAGGAAGCTGCTACAACCTGCAGAATAGGTTGAAACTCTGTTGCATATATTTCTCATTGAAGATTTTCTAGCACAGTGTCGCACCATTTGTGATCATTTCAACTTATGCACGACAGATACACTTGAGAACAAGAGCTTATCTGGATATTTAAGGCCTTTAAAGGGGGAACTAGGGAGCTTTGAGCAATGGTCTAATAATATTACTCTTTCTGCTGCTCATTTTGTGGAAAGAAAGTGCTGCTGGAAAGTACAAGGGGCTTGAAAGGACTAGTGACTATGTTTTTAGGGAGATTATGCGTGACGTACAATGGAAAGTTGATTACTGGAGGAGTGTGTTAAGGTTAAAACCTTAAAGGTGACATGGAAATGCAGTGTGGCCTTTAATTTCTCAGAAGAATTTAACTGCAGGCCATTTATTCTTCTAATTTAGCTGGTAGGCTATGATAGTCTTTTAAGGACATCCCGCATCGATGATCGATCCATCGTGAAGGGGAGAATGGCCAAATCTAATGTGCTATAGTTTTGCTTATTTGGTAATGTTTCTGCTTAATTACCAGAGAACATGTGGGAATCCCCGTTCC